AGAGAGAGAGAGAGAGAGAGAGAGAGAGAGAGAGAGAGAGAGAGAGAGAGAGAGAGAGAGAGAGAGAATTTCTAGGCGTAGGGTTTCTGATTTCTTAAAGAAGAATATGGTTTAAATTTGACGAAAAAAAAAAAAAGACGTGAATGTTAAGGAAAAAATAGAATTTCTGGATCCTGTCTCTGCTTCGTCGAATACATTACATGCATCATCAATTCTTATTCTAATTATCACAACTATTATATTATTATTTTTAATTTGATTATATTATTATTATTATTATTATTTTATTGTTGTTGTCGCTTGGCCTGTTATGTCATATTTCTGTCGTTCATCTCCTTCACCTATGACCCGTATATATATACCGCGAAAAAAAAGCAAGGACAAAAAAGAGGAGGGCGCATGTACATACTTGGAAAAGACGATCATAGATTAACCGCGAAACAAATAGCAAGGAAAAAGAGCAAGGGAAATTTGAATGATACATACACTCATGGAATTGTTAATTAACAGATCGGGACCTCAAATCGTGATGCGTCGTACAGTTATGTTGGAGGTAGCTCGCCTTTTTCGGTTTTCTTGTCAATTACTTTTAAACTTGAGAAGAAAGATTCCAAAGAGCGAACTTGAAGGCTATATGCTTGTAGAGTCATAGGTTTTCCTTGAGGTATTTGGCTTTAATGAGGATCAGATTCACCCGGTATTTGGCTTTAATGAGGGTCAGATTCACCCGGTATTTGGCTTTAATGAGGGTCAGATTCACCCGAAACAGTTGTAGTGTATGGTTCCTCTGAGCCAAATGATGGCATGTAGAACTGCCAAAAAAAAAAAAATTCTCTTTCTTTTTTTTGGGGATATTTCCAACACCTCTAGAACTCGGATTCTGTATCGAATCTTGGCCGTAGATGCGCGTGATGAGACCGAAGGTTTTTTTTTTTGTTTTTGTTTTGGAGATTTGTAGGCGTTGTATTGCAAAGACGGAAGGGTTATACCCTGATCATGAATGTATACAAGCTATCTTTCCGGTCGGATACAGTCCTAATTATGCGTGACGAAACCGAAGGGTTAAGTTCCGGGGGTTCCCACTAGAACCCCCCCCCCAAAAAAAAAAACGAATTAAGAGACAGATAATATTTGCTACTACCTCTATCTCTCTTTTTTTTTTCCTTCATTTTTCTTTTTCATTTTTCTTTTTCATTTTTCTTTTTCATTTTTTTCTTTCTTTTCTTTTTCTTTTTTCTTTTTTCTTTTTTTCTTTTTTCTTTTTTCTTTTTTCTTTTTTCTTTTTTCTTTTTCTTTTTTCTTTTTTCTTTTTTCTTTTTTTCTTTTTTCTTTTTTCTTTTTTCTTTTTTCTTTTTTCTTTTTCTTTTTTCGTTCGTGTGGGAAGCCCTGTTTCATCACACGCACAATTACGACTGTATCCGACCGGAAAAAGATAGCTTGAGACAAAAATAAAAAGTAAAAAACAAAAAAAGAAATGCTACTCTCTCTTAATCCGTGCAAGTGGGATCTTGCCCCCGATTCTAATGCCAAGGGGATTCTGCCGCACGAACACCTTGGTGATGAATGTATACAGGCTATATTTCCGGTCAGATGCATTACGCTCATAAGGAGACCGGGAAGAGGACTTAGCTACACGTGACGGTTGATGGCCCAGTGGTGAGGAGGCTGAGGGCCAGGCCCGACCTTTGCTACGGTCGTTTTGCTTAGGAGGCACGAACCTAACCGGAAAGCTGACCAGGTTCACGGTAAATTAGGACAAGCACAGCACTTCTGTGCCCTCGCCCCTGTGATGTCACACAGAATGCATGAATCTTGCCGTAACACTGGCCAGGTTCTTCTTAATTTGGCACACGATCACACGACCATTGGGGCTTGGGCCTTAATGAGGCTTAAGTTTTAAAGAGGCTCTCACTGTACTAGAACCGTGCGCTACCCTGTTCCCTCGAATACAAGGTGTGGTCATTTCAGCTGTATCTGGCTTGACAGTTGGCCCTGATGCAGATATAATGACCCTGGGTTATAATCGGGGGAATTTTTTGTACGACTGAGCACCGATGTCAGATCGACACTAGAGCGAGAAAAAAAAGAAAAAAAAAAGATCGACCCCAGAGGATTGCTGACTGAGGGGTAGGTCCCAGAACTTCGTGGGTCTTCTGGCGAATTTGCTAAATAGGAAAGCATGCAAAAAAAATGGGGGCAAATCCGGAAATGTAATTAAACAAAAAAAAAAGGATCCTACTCCGGTTTTTTTTTGCCCCCTTAAAAAAAAAAAACAATAATATTGAATTTTCATTCCAAATTATAACGAGGCCGGGGAGACCCCCTTACTCGAATTCTCCATTTCTGACCCCGGATTACCAAGATCAACTTACCCGAATTCTCAATTTTTTATTTTTTATTTTAATAACGAAAACAATTTCCAACCTTTGACAGCGTCCTTTTTTTTTTTTTTTTTTACAACACGGCCTGTAGAACCTACCGTCTTCACCCGAATTGAACGCCCGGTCATTATCGCTGTATCTAGTCTGAAAGTTGCACCAAATACACAGCTTGTCAGCTACAATGACCGGGTGTTCTATTCCGGTGAAGACCGTACGTTCCCAGAGCCTACAACATAACTGTCTAATTCAACAAACTTTTTTTTTTTTTTTTTTTTTTGTCCCTTTTCAATGAAACGTTCGCATTTTATTACAAATAAGTTGAAGAAAAAAACTGGAGGCCGGGGGCCAAGTCCCACTTCACCAGATTCTTCATATCTGGCCGTTGATTTTCATGATCTACGGTCGGGAATGGAGGATCCGGGGGGCTAGGTCCCACTTGCACGAATTAAGAGATGAAGACCGTAGATTTCCGAGATCAACGGCCGAAATCTCCTAATCCGTGCAAGTGGGACTTGGCCCCGGGTAAGTGGGACTTGGCCCCGGGAATCCCTCCGCCGCATGCGACCCGAAGAAGTGCTGAGCTGGGGCCATTGGGTCTCTCGCTCCACTATATGCACAAAAGACAAAAATCATGGCGGTGTATCTTTCCATGTTCTAGGGGTAGATTCACTATCGTTTTGCGCATTTCGAGAGTAGTTGAGCGAGGCTAATTAATTACCCAGCAGCTGTTTCGACTCTTGCTGGAAACCGGGTGCAGCTTCGCATCCCTTTTTCAAGGCAAACTTCCCAGAAAAGGTAAAACTTACATTTTGTTTTGAACCCGAACATGGAGCTGTTATTGCAATCTGGAAAATAATAATAATAATAATAAAATAAAAAATTTGATACCGATCAGGTTTCTTTTTTTTTTTTTTTTTTTTTTTTTTTCCCGATGAATGTAACCCAAACATCTGGCCACTCTTTTCAAGTTTTTTTTGAACATGGAGCTGTGTTCTTGCAATCTGGGAACAGTGGGAAGGAAAACAAAATAAAAAATCTTCTCCATTTTCCCCTTTGTTTGGAAATAGCATAACAGTGGGCAGGAACATGGGACACTGGACCCGGGGCAAGTTCCCACTTGCGCAAATTAGGAGATTTCGGCCGTTGATCTTTGCTATCTACGATCAGTATCGCTTAATCCGTGTAAGTGGGACCTAACCCCCGGTTTCCAGTTAGGCTCTAGAGGCAGGGATCATTCTCCGGGTTGAGTTGTGGAGGGATTCCCGGCCTCCTTTGCAATTATAATGAAATCGTGCTATTTTCAAAAAAAAAAAGAAAAGAGGAAAAAATATGATATGAATGTAACCCAAACATCTGGGCATCGCTTTTAAAAAAGAGTCACTCTTTTCAAGTTTTTAAACTTTTTTTCGGATATCATAACCTCCAGCCATCTGCTTGATGGCA